TAAAATCTTCTTTGATGCACCTAAAATTCTATTCCCTAAAATCTTCTATGATGTACCTGAAAATAAGCGTATAAATTTTTGGGTAAATTTCTGGTCTGCAAATTGAATCTGAAAAGGAAGTTATAAGATACTACGTTTAGCTCCCATAACATTTTTTCTAATGTACCTGAAATTGGACGGATAAAATTTCGGCTATTGTATTTTGAAATAAGAACTGAAACTAAAGATGAGCTAATAATTTACTACTCTAAGCTCCCCAGAAGTGTTAATTGATAAACCTGAAATTACGCGGATAGAACCTTGGCCATTGATTTTTCCAACCCGCAAGATAATATTAATTATTTTTATTATGGTTTCTGCAATTCACAAAATATCTATGAAGGGATATCAGGCCTGTCTGAGCATCTTCTTTTTTTTTGGAAAGGTAAACAACTAAAATGAGTAAGTTCCAAATAAAACTTGAAGAGATGCCAAAATGTTTTATTTGCTCCGACAGTTTTCGAAATGTTTATGTTCGGGATGTTTTTTTCTCCAGACAATTGTCGGTTTTTTAATTAGCAGTTATGACGTAATTTTTTTCGTCAGCGGAAAAATTTTGTTGTCTTGAGCTCAAGTTCAAAAAACATACTTCACTTGTGATTAATTTTTGTAAAGTTATGGGAGTTTAAAGATGGCAAGTGTGGTCAACTAGGGATAATTAGCGCGCGATATTTTCGTGCAGTTAACGCGTAAGCGGAGACTTTGTCTTCTAAGAAATCGGGGTTTGCAAATTGGGGGTTGCAAATTGCTTCGTATAAAAATTTGGTTTATGCAAAATTTTTCAAATTGAACTTTACTTAGCGTGTAGGGGGGGGGGATGATCTTAATGTTTTTCGAAATTTAAAACTTTTTCGGTAAAAAAATTTCATCTTTTTTTAAAAGTGAACACTACTTCATAGATCTCAAAATACTTTTTTGCCTCACCCTGGAGTAGCTTTTTGTGGAGTAGCTATTTTGACCTCACCGTCTTTTGGAAACTTGTTTATGCAAGAAAAGTCACAATTAAAGGCTTAAAGATGTCACAGTTCACTCGATCCTCGTCTTAAGTTTGTTCAAATTGCCTGGTTTAGTGTTGAACAAAAAACGCCAGGATTTAAAGATATCCCGATCTTCATCGGTCGAAGAAAAAATAACACTTTAGTTGTGGCCCGAGAAACAAAAGATATAATTTAAATTATATCTTTCTTTTCTCGGGCCACAACTAGTGGACACAGACTTTCGCGACCCATGTCCAGACTTCGGCGACCAAATTTTGTTATGTTCAGACTTTAGCGATCCATGTCCAGACTTTCGCGAGCAAATTTTGGTATGTCCAGACTTTCCCGGCCCACGGCGCGACTCATGTCCAGACTTTCCAGACTCAAACTCTCGGCGCGACTATGCAATTTGGGTCTAAATCCGGATTTGGAACTAAACCCGGGTTGAGAAACTCAGAATATAGATTTGATGTCGCTCGAAGCTTCAAGTTTTTGAAACTGTTTCAGAGTAGACCTGGACCTGGTTATTACGAAAGCGGAGACCTATTGGCACCTAAAGGAGCTGGGAACGCCAAACCATTTCTGCAAAGCGCTGAACGCTTTGACGAGAGGGCCAAACTGATGATGATGGGACCCAGCGTTAGAGTTAGTGAGAACTATGTAGAGTATTCTGTTTCTAGAATACTCTAGAACCAATTAGAACATATTTGCTCACGTGTTTAGAACGTCGGAGTTGGACGATATGACGTGACCAAACAAGAGAAACACCAGTCTAAAAATGGAAACAAAAGTGTTTTCAAGTCCCATGTGCCAATTTTACTGGACCCGACGGTGGATAAAATCTTAAAGTAAGCTCTGATTGCGACTGTTTTTTTTTTATAAAACTCGTTGGTTATATATATTATACCGGTTATATTTATTAGCAGGGGCGGATTTAGGGGGGGGGGGCGGGGGGGCGGACGCTTCCCCCCGCCTTCAGGGATTCGACCCCCTGCCGACCCAAAGGGTCCCCCCTTTGATACTTTTTCAGAAATCCATTTTTGGCCGGCCGACCCTAAAATTTTTCTAAAGGCGCCTTCAGCGCCAATATATACTAACTTTGAGGGGGAGCGCGCGCCAAAAAAACGCGATTTTTTTGTCAAAATCTTTCAAAAAGTGCCCAAAAACGGCTTTTTTGACTGTTTTTTCAAAAATTTCCCTGCGGCGCTAAAAATTTTGCCAAAATATGGGCAAAACAGTGCTTTGGGAGAGCTCGAAAAATCAATTTGGTCGACCTAAAAAAAAAAAAAGGTCGTCAAAATTTTGGAAAATTTTTTGAAAATCCGCCCCCCCTCAAGAAAATCCTAGATCCGCCCCTGTTTATTAGTTTAAACAGTTAAAATAATAAGTCTCGCTTATTTTGACAGAGGCATATGCGCACAGATTATTCCGAACACTGAAACGTTTCGCTTTTTTTTCAATCTGAATTTGCATCGCAACAATAAGGATATCTATATATTAAACTTGAAGTTTATTAAATTTATTAAATACAAATCCGAAGTTTTTCTAACTCTTTTAGCAGGAAATTTAAATAATTTTTAATATATTTTTTTAATTTTTAGGGAGAGATTGAAACCACACGTTCCAAGTGCAAGAAAGAGAGTGTTGAAAGCGCCAAGCAAAGTACTAGAAGACGCCATTTTGACCAAGAAAATGTTGAACCAATAAAACACATCTATGTCTGTATAGAACACAGCTTCTGCTATACCAATGGTGCGATCAGCTCACGAAAAGTGCCTTCGAAAAGCAAACCTGCCCTTCATTGATCGAAACTTTTCTTTTTCTGTCAATAAAAATCTCACTTGGTGAAAATAAATTCATCTAAATTTATGTTAGAAACTACTTTTTTAACTTCCAATCAGATTTTTCAACAGAAAAGACGGCAAAACTATCAGTTCGACTAATCAGCACTGAATGTTTTGTACACAGCGAAAATCTCCCGATATGTATTGAATTTTAGGAAATAAAGCCACACTAAAAACTAAAACATCAACCAATCAAATTGATCTAACAATTGAAAATGAGTTTCGACCAATCACATTGCTCGAATCATCGAAGCAGCATTTGCTACTTGCACTGCTTCCATCACAACATCTCGCGCATTTTTCCGAGACACGACTCGCAATCCGTCAAACAGTCCTTCGCATGTTGGCGTCCCGTGTGTCCCGTCGGGGAATGTCAGGATTCCGAGTCCTTTCATTTCTCCGTTTCGGAACTCTCCTTCGTAGCGCAGACCATCGCAACGCACCGAACGACCAAGTCCGTCTAGTTTCCCCTGCAAAACATAACATAAAAGAAAGCAAAAACTCGGCTAGTAGACAACAAAAGCAAGGAGTTTGTCTGGTCAGAATGAGTTTTATTTGTTTCCAATAGATTCAGTGATTCGCGCATGAGTTTTCGAGGGTGTTTAGGTTTTTGAAAAACTTAAGTCAGCCAATTCAGTTTTTCGAACCATGAGGAAACGCTAGAAAGATCATATTTTGTAAAATTTTTGCACCGCAGGCAAATCGTTGAAAAACAACGAGGCCAATAGCGTCTTTAGGATGTTTAGAGCGTTGTTTGACCATAAATTGCACGTTAGGTGTCAATGGGACGCTTTATGAAAAAATGGCAGCCAGAATTCTCCTCTCCCTCGGCACGTTTTTGTTTATGTTAAGGGCTGCAACGACAAATTTAATTCAAACAAATATTTGAAAAAAAAAACTGAATGTCTCATACTTACCTCTTTAAATTGACCTTGAAGCACAAAGTAGGGCGTCTTCAAGTTGCCCAGTCCATCTGGAAACCCATTCTTGAACTCCCCTTCGTACAGTGACCTCTTACTGTCTCCGAAATCCAGCTTGCCCAAACCATGTCTAATGCCACGCGAGTCAAACTGCCCTATGTATATTGAGCCGTCATCGTAATGGTATTTTCCATACGATGTTTTCATGGTAAATAATAAAATGTGGTGCAGGCAAAAATGTACTGTTTATGTTTATGCTAACCCATGTGAAAAAAAAACATTTCCTGTTTCAGAAAATCTATAGAAAGTACGCTTGTAGACAAATGCAAAAAGAAAAAAAACAAAGCAATTTTAGTTGCGAAAAAAGAGCATAACGCAGTTACAAGTTGAGTGCAAACGAGAATAGAACAAATCTAGTTTGCTTTAATCAGAAATGAAACAGCCTTAGTTTCAATCAGCAAAAACAATGAAATCATGAAAGGGAAAATATTTTCGCGAAGGTTCAAAAGCAATTTATTCAATGTTTTTACCGCCGTTTTATTTCGCTGCAAAGAGTGCAGAAGCGAATCTAATGTTCGTCCAAGGGAAGGGGGGGGGGGAAGGATTAAGAAACTTATTTAAAAATTGGTAAAATCTTTTGAATATAGGGCGGAACAGTATTAGGATAACATTTAAAATTAAGCTTGTTTCTTGGTTTTTTCCTAAATTCTTCTGCTTATCATTTACTTATTTTTCTTGTTACTGGCCAAGTCTGATTTTAAGTTGCATTACCTCAAAAATAACTATTTTTTCAATTGTTTCGAGCAAAAAAATGTTTTAGAGTATTTCAAAACAAAATTTTGTTTCATATTTTAGGGAAACAGAATTATTTTCAGAAAATTACAATTGTCTGGATTGAGAACTTCTTCCGAACAATTTTTGGACTTTTGGCAAGTTTTTAGATTCTGTATTTTGAATACACATTGGTTTCAACCAGGTGTATTCGGTTATTTTGCATATATCATAGAATGTTTCGATGCAGCGTTTTTTTTTTGCTAAATGAAAGCTCCAAAATTTGCCACACAAGTTTTTGTTCGAAAAAAAAGAAGCTATCATTTAACAAATACAACAGGTAAATCAGAGCATTTTATTCTACGGGCAATACAAGCGACACACCTGGGTAAAACCAATGAGTAATTAGAAATTCTCGCCAAAAAAAAATTTGTGTTAAAAAATTTCCGATGCAGGGTTCGTCTGTGGCTCCTGGAACGTACGACTACAAGGCAGAGATAGATGAGAAGACGCAGAAGCAGGTGGGATCCAGGGGTCCCTATGACCTCTTCTCCTCCTCCAGGTCAGCACCCATCACCAGTGGACACATGGCACAGCCGGTGAGTGACACTTCACTTTTCATGCTGTTTTCATTCAGTTTTCATGCAGTTTTCATTCAGTTTTCATTCAATTTTCATTCAGTTTTCATTCAGTTTTCATTCAGTTTTCATTCAGTTTTCATTCAGTTTTCATTCAGTTTTTGACGATACATGATTTTCCCTGTTTGAATGTTGCGTTTTTCTTTTCAAGTAGCTGCCTTTAAAAATTCAACGTCATCAAAGCCAAACTCATTAATGATTCTTTTTCTCAAAAGCTTTTTTATGCCTAGTTTTAACATATTCATGATTTTTCTAATAACACATTCAAATTCACTCAAAAAAAAATATTTTTTTTTTCTCAAAATTTTCCATGGAACTCATTCTGGTGGTCAATTGAAAGGCTGGATTTTCTAGTTAGATAATTAGCTATCAATGCTCAAATTTGTTCTTACTTCCAGAAGCCAGTGAAGAACAGAGGTCCAGCGGACTACGTGAGCAAGTCTTTCGTCGAGGAAATGAGTCACCCCACAGTTAAACATCAGGGGGAGTTCAAAAAACAGGACCAGTACCCTAAAGTGCCAGGGGAGAGAATATACTACACAAAACCAAACCAGGCGCCAGTCGATCCCGTGAGTTGAAACTTTATAAAAAAAACAACGGTTACATAAGGGCCATCTAACTGTCGGGAAAGATCGGTATACTGGTCTTCTATTGCCCATTGAAATTATAATAAAATGACCATATAATTTCTTTACTTGCAACTTGAAACCCGATAGTTAATATGAAAAATTTCATGCAACACTTGACAAACATTAGGCTTGTTGCCTTACGCGTGTTCAGCAGCAGAATAGGAAGGCTTAGGACGGTGACAGGGAAAAAATATCCCATACCAAAGTATCCCAAAACCAATTCTCCCATATACCAGTATATCCAAATTGACACAATTACCCTAGCCCTAATAGCCCACGTCAATAGGACTCTCCCTTATATGAATTTCAAATGGTCAAAATCAGGGGAGGGGCGCATCTGGGATTTTCTCGAGGGGGGGAGGGATTTTCAAAAAATTTCGAAAAGTTTTCGACCTTTTTTTTAGGTCGACAAAATTTATTTTCTGAGCACTCCTAAATCACTGTAATGACCCCACTTTGACTGACCAAATTTTCTGCGCCGCAGACAAAATTTTGAAAAAAAAACAGGCCAAAAAAGGCGTTTTTAGGCAACTTTTGGAAAATTTTGGCGCGTGTTCGGAAAGTGTTCCCCCCCAAAGGCGCCTTTAGAAAAATTTCAGGGCACTTCACCAAAAATTGATATCTGAAAATAGTGCAAAGGGGGACCCTTTTGGTCGGCAGGTGGTCGAATTCCTAAGAAAAAAGCGCCCCCCCCCAAAAAAAAAAATCCGCTGGTGGTCAAAATAGCGTGGTGATGTGATTTACTTCGGTTGGTGCTTGTCTCTGTATCGCAATTAAAGTGAATCTATATAATGAGAGGCAATAGAGACAGTGTTGTTTGTAAGACTCGTTTCTAGGGCTTCACTTTGGTTTTTCAACCGGTTACCGGTTACGATTTTTTGAAATTACTTGAGAATAGAGTGCACAGGTTGACAAAAAGCAGTTCACTGGGTTTTTCTTCAAAAATTTAGAATATGTCCAGATTTTTGATCCGACCAATTCCCGTAGGGTTTGTTTTTTCTCTCCCAAAAATGTTTTCCTCAAAAAACTTGCATGGAGTTATTATGGGCTGGTATCACTTAAAAAGTTTAACAGTCGGAATTGTAGTCCAAAAAATACTAAAACTACTGAAAGTTCCGAGAGAAACTGGTCTAAAAGTTTTGTTTTTTAGGCTACCTGATCGAAAAATTAACAAAAAAACGCAATGAAAAACCATTTTAGTGCACTAATCATTTTAGTATTTACATACTTCAACAGCTATTACCACTCAATTTAGCATTTTCACAGTTGTGACCACTAAACAAAAATTAGGTAATTTAGACATCAAAGAAAAGCTATTTCAGAATCAAACATAATTTTTCTCTTTTACTTCGAATTGTTCTCTAAAATCAAGATTTTTCTGTGATGGTTCAATGGCAATCGGTTTTGTTTTTTTCTGTTTTAGCTATGATATTTTTTTTTTGGTTGTTATCAAAATGTTTTTCTTTTTTAGATTTGTCACGAGCTAACTTTTTCGGCGTCTGAAAGTTTTGCTTGGACATATTTGTCATTGCTTTCTTTTCTGGCACTTATTCAAGCAAAATTCGAGCTTTTAATTTGAGTTATTTTTATGGAAAACAAAAAGTTAATTGAAAAAAACACTAAAAAGATATTGTACTTAATTTCTAAAATCTTCTTTGATGCACCTAAAATTCAATTCCCTAAAACTTTCTTTGATGTACCTGAAAATAAGCGTATAAATTTTTGGGTATTTTTCTTCAGAATAAATTTCCGGTCTGCAAATTGAATCTGAAAAGGAAGTTATAAGATACTACATTTAGCTCCCATAACATTTTTTCTAATGTACCTGAAATTGGACGGATAAAATTTCGGCTATTGTATTTTGAAATAAGAACTAAAACTAAAGATGAGCTCCCCTGAAGTGTTATTTGATAAACTTGAAATTACGCGGATAAAACCTTGGCCATTGATTTTCCAACCCGCTAGATAATAATTATTTTTATTATGGTTTCTGCAATTCACAAAATATCTATGAAAGGGTATCAAGCCTGTCTGAGCATCTTCCTTTTTTTGGAGAGATAAACAACTAAAATGAGTAAGTTCCAAATAAAACTTGAAGAGATGCCAAAATGTTTTATTTGCTCCGACAGTTTTCGAAAATAAATGACGTAATGTTTATGTTCGGGATGTTTTTTCTCCAGACAACTGTCGGTTTTTTAATTAGCAGTTATGACGTAATTTTTTTCGTCGGCGGAAAAATTTTGTTGTCTTGAGCTCAAGTTCAAAAAACATACTTCACTTGTGATTAATTTTTGTAAAATTATGGGAGTTTAAAGATGGCAAGTGTGGTCAACTAGGGATAATTAGCGCGCGATATTTTTCGTGCAGTTAACGCGTAAGCGGAGACTTTGTCTTCTAAGAAATCGGGGTTTGCAAATTGGGGGTTGCAAATTGCTTCGTATAAAAATTTGGTTTATGCAAATTTTTTCATTTTGAACTTTACTTAGCGTGTAGGGGGGGGGGGGTGATGATCTTAATGTTCATCAAAAAACTTGCATGGAGTTATTATGGGCTGGTATCACTTAAAAGTTTTAACAGTCGGGATTGTAGTCCAAAAATACTAAAACTACTGAAAGTTCCGAGAGAAACTGGTCTAAAGGTTTTGTTTTTTAGGCTACCTGATCGAAAAATTAACAAAAAAACGCATTGAAAAACCATTTTAGTGCACTAATCATTTTAGTATTTACATACTTCAACAGCTATTACCACTCAATTTAGCATTTTCACAGTTGTGACCACTAAACAAAAATTAGGTAATTTAGACTTCTTAGAAAAGCTATTTCAGAATCAAACATAATTTTTTTCTTTTACTTCGAATTGTTCTCTAAAATCAAGATTTTTCTGTGATGGTTCAATGGCAAACGGTTTTTTTTTCTGTTTTAGCTGTGATATTTTTTTTTTGGTTGTTATCAAAATGTTTTTCTTTTTAGATTTGTCACGAGCTAACTTTTTTGGCGTCTGAAAGTTCTGCTTGGACATATTTGTCATTGCTTTCTTTTCTGGCACTTATTCAAGCAAAATTCAAGCTTTTAATTTGAGTTATTTTTATGGAAAACAAAAAGTTAATTGAAAAAAAACACTAAAAAGATATTGTACTTAATTTCTAAAATCTTCTTTGATGCACCTAAAATTCAATTCCCTAAAACTTTCTTTGATGTACCTGAAAATAAGCGTATAAATTTTTGGGTATTTTTCTTCAGAATAAATTTCTGGTCTGCAAATTGAATCTGAAAAGGAAGTTATAAGATACTACATTTAGCTCCCATAACATTTTTTCTAATGTACCTGAAATTGGACGGATAAAATTTCGGCTATTGTCTTTTGAAATAAGAACTAAAACTAAAGATGAGCTAATAATTTACTCCTCTAAGCTCCCCTGAAGTGTTATTTGATAAACTTGAAATTACGCGGATAAAACCTTGGCCATTGATTTTCCAACCCGCTTGATAATAATTATTTTTATTATGGTTTCTGCAATTCACAAAATATCTATGAAAGGGTATGAGGCCTGTCTGAGCATCTTCCTTTTTTTGGAAAGATAAACAACTAAAATGAGTAAGTTCCAAATAAAACTTGAAGAAATGCCAAAATGTTTTATTTGCTCCGACAGTTTTCGAAAACAAATGACGTAATGTTTATGTTCGGGATGTTTTTTCTCCAGACAATTGTCGGTTTTTTAATTAGCAGTTATGACGTAATTTTTTTCGTCAGCGGAAAAATTTTGTTGTCTTGAGCTCAAGTTCAAAAAACATACTTCACTTGTGATTAGTTTTTGTAAAATTATGGGAGTTTAAAGATGGCAAGTGTGGTCAACTAGGGATAATTAGCGCGCGATATTTTTCGTGCAGTTAACGCGTAAGCGGAGACTTTGTCTTCTAAGAAATCGGGGGTTGCAAATTGGGGGTTGCAAATTGCTTCGTATAAAGATTTGGTTTATGCAAAATTTTTCATTTTGAACTTTACTTAGCGTATAGGGGGGGGGGGGGTGATGATCTTAATGTTTTTCGAAATTTAAAACTTTTTCGGCCGAAAAATTTTGTTTTTTTTAAAGTGAACACTACCTCATAGACTTCAAAATACTTTTTTGCCTCAACGTGGAGTAGCTTTTTGTGGAATAGCTATTTTGCCTCACCGTCTTTTGGAAATTTGTTTATGCAAAAAAAGTCACAATTAAAGGCTTAAAGATGTCACAATTCACTCGATCCTCGTCTTAAGTTGCCTGTTCATATTGCCTGATTTAGTGTTGAACAAAAAACGTCAGGATCTAAAGATATCCCGATCTTCATCGGTCGAAGAAAAAATAACACTTTAGTTGTGGCCCGAGAAAATAAAGATATAATTTAAATTTTATGTTTCTTTTCTCGGGCCACAACTAGTGGACACAGACTTTCGCGACCCATGTCCAGACTTTCGCGAGCAAATTTTGGTATGTCCAGACTTTCGCAGCCCACGGAGCGACTCATGTCCAGACTTTCCAGACTCAAACTCTCGGCGCGACTATGCAATTTGGGTCTAAATCCGGATGTGGCGCGACCCTTGAAGTCTGGACATGAGTCTGGGACCTTGACCCGGCTTGAGAAACACAGAATATAGATTTGATGTCGCTCGAAGCTTCAAGTTTTTGAAACTGTTTCAGAGTAGACCTGGACCTGGTTATTACGAAAGTGGAGACCTATTGGCACCTAAAGGAGCTGAGAACGCCAAACCATTTCTGCAAAGTGCTGAACGCTTTGACGAGAGAGCCAAACTGATGATGATGGGACCCAGCGTTAGAGTTAGTGAGAACAATCTAGAATGTTCTGTTTCTAGAATACTCTAGAACCAATTAGAACATATTTGCTCACGTGTTTAGAACGTCGGAGTTGGACGATATGACGTGACCAAACAAGAGAAACACCAGTTTAAAAATGGAAACAAAAGTGTTTTCAAGTCCCATGTGCCAATTTTACTGGACCCGACGGTGGATAAAATCTTAAAGTAAGCTCTGATTGCGACTGTTTTTTTTTATAAAACTCGTTGGTTATATATATTATACCGGTTATATTTATTAGCAGGGGCGGATTTAGGGGGGGGGGGGCGGGGGGGCGGACGCCCTCCCTCTTCAGGGATTCGACCCCCTGCCGACCCAAAGGGTCCCCCCTTTGATACTTTTTCAGAAATCCATTTTTGGCCGGCCGACCCTAAAATTTTTCTAAAGGCGTCTTTGGCGCCAATATATACTAACTTTGAGGGGGAGCGCGCGCCAAAAAAACGCGATTTTTTTGTCAAAATCTTTCAAAAAGTGCCCAAAAACGGCTTTTTTGACTGTTTTTTCAAAAATTTGCCTGCGGCGCTAAAAATTTTGCCAAAATATGGGCAAAACAGTGCTTTGGGAGAGCTCGAAAAATCAATTTGGTCGACCTAAAAAAAAAAAGGTCGTCAAAATTTTGGAAAATTTTTTGAAAATCCGCCCCCCCTCAAGAAAATCCTAGATCCGCCCCTGTTTATTAGTTTAAACAGTTAAAATAATAAGTCTCGCTTATTTTGACAGAGGCATATGCGCACAGATTATTCCGAACACTGAAACGTTTCGCTTTTTTTTCAATCTGAATTTGCATCGCAACAATAAGGATATCTATATATTAAACTTGAAGTTTATTAAATTTATTAAATACAAATCCGAAGTTTTTCTAACTCTTTTAGCAGGAAATTTAAATAATTTTTAATATATATTTTTTTAATTTTTAGGGAGAGATTGAAACCACACGTTCCAAGTGCAAGAAAGAGAGTGTTGAAAGCGCCAAGCAAAGTACTAGAAGACGCCATTTTGACCAAGAAAATGTTGAACCAATAAAACACATCTATGTCTGTATAGAACACAGCTTCTGCTATAACAATGGTGCGATCAGCTCACGAAAAGTGCCTTCGAAAAGCAAACCTGCCCTTCATTGATCGAAACTTTTCTTTTTCTGTCAATAAAAATCTCACTTGGTGAAAATAAATTCATCTAAATTTATGTTAGAAACTACTTTTTTAACTTCCAATCAGATTTTTCAACAGAAAAGACGGCAAAACTATCAGTTCGACTAATCAGCACTGAATGTTTTGTACACAGCGAAAATCTCCCGATATGTATTGAATTTTAGGAAATAAAGCCACACTAAAAACTAAAACATCAACCAATCAAATTGATCTACCAATTGAAAATGAGTTTCGACCAATCACATTGCTCGAATCATCGAAGCAGCATTTGCTACTTGCACAGCTTCCATCACAACATCTCGCGCATTTTTCCGAGACACGACTCGCAATCCGTCAAACAGTCCTTCGCATGTTGGCGTCCCGTGTGTCCCGTCGGGGAATGTCAGGATTCCGAGTCCTTTCATTTCTCCGTTTCGGAACTCTCCTTCGTAGCGCAGACCATCGCAACGCACCGAACGACCAAGTCCGTCTAGTTTCCCCTGCAAAACATAACATAAAAGAAAGCAAAAACTCGGCTAGTAGACAACAAAAGCAAGGAGTTTGTCTGGTCAGAATGAGTTTTATTTGTTTCCAATAGACTCAGTGATTCGCGCATGAGTTTTCGAGGGTGTTTAGGTTTTTGAAAAACTTAAGTCAGCCAATTCAGTTTTTCGAACCATGAGGAAACGCTAGAAAGATCATATTTTGTAAAATTTTTGCACCGCAGGCAAATCGTTGAAAAACAACGAGGCCAATAGCGTCTTTAGGATGCTTATAGCGTTGTTTGACCATAAATTGCACGTTAGGTGTCAATGGGACGCTTTATGAAAAAATGGCAGCCAGAATTCCCCTCTCCCTCGGCACGTTTTTGTTTATGTTAAGGGCTGCAACGACAAATTTAATTCAAACAAATATTTGAAAAAAAAACTGAATGTCACATACTTACCTCTTTAAATTGACCTTGAAGCACAAAGTAGGGCGTCTTCAAGTTGCCCAGTCCATCTGAAAACCCATTCTTGAACTCCCCTTCGTACAGTGACCTCTTACTGTCTCCGAAATCCAGCTTGCCCAAACCATGTCTAATGCCACGCGAGTCAAACTGCCCTATGTATATTGAGCCGTCATCGTAATGGTATTTTCCATACGATGTTTTCATGGTAAATAATAAAATGTGGTGCAGGCAAAAATGTACTGTTTATGCTTATGCTAACCCATGTGAAAAATAAAACATTTCCTGTTTCAGAAAATCTATAGAAAGTACGCTTGTAGACAAATGCAAAAAGAAAAAAAACAAAGCAATTTTAGTTGCGAAAAAAGAGCATAACGCAGTTACAAGTTGAGTGCAAACGAGAATAGAACAAATCTAGTTTGCTTTAATCAGAAATGAAACAGCCTTAGTTTCAATCAGCAAAAACAATGAAATCATGAAAGGGAAAATATTTTCGCGAAGGTTCAAAAGCAATTTATTCAATGTTTTTACCGCCGTTTTATTTCGCTGCAAAGAGTGCAGAAGCGAATCTAATGTTCGTCCAAGGGAAGGGGGGGGGGAAGGATTAAGAAACTTATTTAAAAATTGGTAAAATCTTTTGAATATAGGGCGGAACAGTATTAGGATAACATTTAAAATTAAGCTTGTTTCTTGGTTTTTTCCTAAATTCTTCTGCTTATCATTTACTTATTTTTCTTGTTACTGGCCAAGTCTGATTTTAAGTTGCATTACCTCAAAAATAACTATTTTTTCAATTGTTTCGAGCAAAAAAATGTTTTGGAGTATTTCAAAACAAAATTTTGTTTCATATTTTAGGGAAACAGAATTATTTTCAGAAGATTACAATTGTCTGGATTGAGAACTTCTTCCGAACAATTTTTGGACTTTTGGCAAGTTTTTAGATTCTGTATTTTGAATACACATTGGTTTCAACCAGGTGTATTCGGTTATTTTGCATATATCATAGAATGTTTCGATGCAGCGTTTTTTTTGCTAAATGAAAGCTCCAAAATTTGCCACACAAGTTTTTGTTCGAAAAAAAAGAAGCTATCATTTAACAAATACAACAGGTAAATCAGAGCATTTTATTCTACGGGCAATACAAGCGACACACCTGGGTAAAACCAATGAGTAATTAGAAATTCTCGCCAAAAAAAATTTGTGTTAAAAAATTTCCGATGCTCAAAATTAAAAACCTCAACAACATGTTTTTCTTATTAAATTTTTTCATCATATGAGTTTTTAGAGAACTGTTTGACAGCCAAAGCATTGAAAAATGAAACCCTCTAATTGCTGAAAGACTTCAAAGAAACAAGAAAAACTGAAATTTTACAAAATTTTGTTATCTATCCGAAAAAAATTTATTCGAATAACCAATCGAATCTAATTAGAAAAGTTTTAGATTCAAGGAGTCAAAAAAAATCACAATTTGAACTGCGAAAATAAAATAGCGCCGAGTGTTTCACCATTAGTCCACGCTTTTTCACGAGCAAAATTCGAATCCCTGCCATCACTAAAAGCATTTCAACAGTTTTCATTTGTACAAAAACGAAGTCAATACAATAACATGATATAGCAAAAAATATTGGAATTGACGGAACAATTTTTATGAAAACACTATGGCGATTAGAAAAAAAATGAACCATTTCGAAGCTTATAATAGCGAGATTAATTTCAGCTTAGATAAGGAGTTTGAACAAAACACAATGCTAAACACAAATACTTGGATCAAGTTTTTGAGTTCGAGTTTTAAAAAACTAACAGAAGCAAATTTTTAAATTCATTTTATTATTAAGACGATGTGGCATTGCTAAGAAAAATTTCCTTTTTCTAGGAATTCAACACGGAGGCAGAGCTGGTTTTCAGAAACACAAGCGATAAAACGACAAAAGGAGCTCTATAAGATGAACTAACAAAAAATAGAAATAAGGCAAGAGTTTTAAAAAAATGTATGCAATATGTCGGATTTGCACCTGCGACCTGAAGATTAGGAGTTTCACACCCTTACTTCTCAGCCACGGACGTTTAGCTACCGCCGAACACTAGGTATCTTTAAAGCAGAGTACAGATGCTATGAAATCTTGTTAAAGACAGTGATTATGGCAAAATTACCATCAAATGAGCATAATTTTCATCGAGTCAGATTGAGAAAAAGTAGAGTCAAACTATTACCTAACACTCGCCAGCTTGCTAGAGTTACAAAATCAATAGCCCAAAGGTTTTGTATTTGCTTAGATAAACACCAGCAGCTCTGCCTATTATCACAATTTGGCTGACCACTCAAAAAAATTGCAACCAATTGGGGCAAATGATTTCTTTCAACGAAAAATCAGGTGATTCAAACAATTTTGTGGGGCACAAACTGTGACATCAAAAACTGCAGCCTTTTCAGTCCAGATTGAATTCCAAAAACTAAGTGTTGGAAGAACTATGAGTCTAAACCTTACCGGAGACGCTAAACCTTTTTCCTCTTTTGAAAGGCTAACTGGTTCTTTTTCCTTTCCTTTCCCCACCTCGCATGAGCATAATTTTTCTGGTGTAACGAGTAATTGTCCAAGGTTGAATATGAAGATAAATATGTTTGTGAGAACCTAATTGGCCCTTATGCCAATTTTTCTAACAATCGCTGATGTGAACAGTCAGTTTACTTTCAAAAGTTTTCAGGTGGGGGAGAAGGAAACAGAGCAGACGACGAGCTATTACAATTTTCCATTTTTACAACGTTATAATGGTTTAACATTTTTGTGGTTCAGGAACATCTGCGTTAATGTCAATTTACCATGGCAGAAAGTCAAAAGTTCTTATAAAAATTCGAGAGTTTTTTTACATGCACTGGATCGGAACTAATATTCATGGAATGAGAAGTAAATATGTCTCCGAAATGCACCTCCAAACTGGACTTTAGGAGACTCATGTCCTCGCTTCTGCGCCACAGTTGCTTCAAAGCACAGTAACACTAGCCACCAACAAAAGAGCTACAGATACTATCATGCTAAGCTGCAAAAATACCACCAAATCAAACCTGCTATTAGCGAGCAACGAAAAATTGAAGTTTACTTAAAAAACATTCCGATTAATAGTTAGCTTCCTTTTATATTTTCAATCTTACCTTATTGTAGCATCAAATACTGTTGTCGTGACATTTGAGCTATTTGTTGTTCTGTCGATGTCACAGAGTGACCCTAAAGAGCTATGAAAAAGCGTGTTTTTTTTCAAGCTTTAGTAATTCGGTAAGATAATGGAGGATGTATTCAATTCCTTCCAGTCGTGATTCGGATATAAAAAAATTCAGAATTTTTCTGCATCGGTGAAAATTAGCCATTTGTTTTACGTTTCTCCCAATAACCTAAAATACAAAAATTGATAAAAAATGAGAAATTAAACACGCATTTTATAGTCTTATCTTAAAACATATTAAAAATGGAAGCATTAAGCGAAAAATTTTCAGTGGATACTTTGAAAAAAAATAACTGCAAAAATTACATTGCCAAAAAATTTTAGAAAAGAAATCAATGCAAAACTTTTAATCAATGCAAAGCTGCTAAAAAACGACAAAAATTAAAGAAAACTTTAAAAAAATGAAATCAGAAAAAAGTTAATTGATTGCCGTTTGTTGAAGGAAAGAAACTAATAAATCCATGTGTGGTGTTTTTACTCAAAAAAATTAAATGGATGCGAAGATTTTTTCATAGCAAAATAAACGAAGCGTTTCTTAAATTTAAGAAAGCAAACAAATCACTGCAAAGATTGTAAAAAACTGAAAAGAACAAACCACTGGTAAGCTTCTGTGAAACAAGCTACTGTTAAGGTTCTGAAAAATGAGTGCAAAGTTGTTTCACCAAAAAAAACAACAAATTGCAATAGGAAGCTTTTCATTAAATTCTTCAAGAAAATTTTTTTAAAGAAAAAAACAAATCAGTGATTTATTTAATGATTCACAAGAACAACCGATTCAAAAGTTTAGAGAATCATGAGAAAATTTTTAAAACAGAAACTCTTCGGAAACTTTGAGTCTCACAAAAAAATTAAACAAAAAAATTGAAATTCTTTCTAAACTTTTACTTTTAAAATTTATTTTGAAAAAAAAACTAACAAACTAAGGAAAAAGGAATAATCATAGCAATATTGAAATTTATTAAACAATAAATTGAAATAGGTGTCCTGATTTTGAAAAAGATGAAATCACTGCATTGTGGTTGGCTGAAATTGGATTGAAAAAGTAACAAACGAGTCGCAAACCTTTATTTTCTTAAAGCTTGTTTTGAGAAAAACCAGGAAAACAAATCATTGCGAAACTTTGGCTAAAAAATTTCTGAAAAAAAAAACAAAACCATGTGAAAATTTTTCTACTCCAATTTGAAATCAATACAAATGATTTTGTTCTAAAAAAAGGACGAATTGGTGGGAGGCGTTTCAATTTTTGTTAAGAACAATCAAACAACTTACAATTTCTTAAAGGATTTCAAAAAGATAAAAATCAAGGGAACACTTTAGAAATATTAAAATCCAGCAAAACAATTGAAATCTTTTTTGAAGAAATCAAATAGACGTGGAATTTTGGAGGATTTTTTTTAAGAGTCTCACAAGAATCATAATTTTTATTAAACTGATTGAAACTCAACTGTTTTGCAATATTTTGAAATTCAACTGACAATTTTTGGTGGAAAAAAACAAAAATACAAACCAAAAGTCAAGAAAAAGTGTTTTCATTTTATTTTGTCAATTGAAGACAAAGTTTTAAGAAGCTATTGGGGAAAAAAAGGTAGTTTGAAGAAAGCGTTTTTTTTTAAGTCAGTTCTTGTTGATTTAGTTCAAAACAATTTGCTAAAAATCGGAATCTGGTGCAGAACCGGAATCTGAAGAAAAGTTTTTTAAAGAATTTTCTACCATTTTAGTTCGAAGCTTTCATTAACAAAAACATTAAAAAGTATTTTGAGGAAAGAAAATGAAGTTACAAATTTTTTTTTGCCTTTGGGGGAAAAGTACATCATGAATTGACGTTTGCAAACATTAAATCGCTTTTTTAAATATAATTTCGATCGCACCAAACAAAAGGCTACCAATGACGATCTCTAATACCAGAAAAACTTTTTGTGGCCCTGCGTTGACAATCAAGCATATTTAAAGCTGGCAAGAACATTTATTTTTGAGCCGAAACTCTTCTACCGAACTAATCTTAACACAGAAACTTGCTTATCGTAGGCCCTCGTAGCCGGTTTCTTTAACTTTTCAGACTTCACAGTTACTGCTTCTACTAACTGTGCCATATCTCTATAGCCTTCATAACACCCGCAGAGCAAAATGGGGGCTTTGCAGACAGCAAAAACCCAATTGAGCCCATGCAGAAGTAACCAGAGGACATGTTCAAGAGGAGCTTCAGCTTCCGGGA